TTAAAAAAGCCTATGTGAAGATCAAGTCGGACTACACAAAAGAGAAAACATAAAACACAAGTAGCTTAAATAAAGAAGGGTTTATTCTCACATCAAAGAAGGGTAGTTAGGTTGGTGGAAATGCAAACTGGCACAGCCACTCTGGAAAGCAGTATGGAGTTCCTCAAAAAAGTAACAAATAGAGCTACCAGCCATCCAGCGATTGTGCTACTAAGTATTCATCAAAAGGATACAGACATGCACCCGGACGTTTACAGCAGTGCTATCAACAATAGCCAAACTACGGAGAGAGCCCAAATGGCCGTGGGCGGAAGAATGGGTAGAGAAGATGTGGTATGTGTCTACGATGGAATATTACTCAGCAATCAAAAAAGACGGCAGTCTTGTCATTTGCAATGTCGTGGGTGGATCTAGGGTGTACTACGGTAAGTGAAAGAAGTCAGTCAGAGAAATACAAATATACGATTTCGCTCATATGTGAAATTTAAGAAACAAAACAGGTGATCATAGGGGAAGAAAAGGAAAAATTAGATAACAACAGAGAAGGCGGCAAACCATAAGAGACTCTAAATACAGAGAACAAACTGGGGGTTTCTGGAGGGGAGACGGTGGGGGGATGGGCTAAATGGGTGACAGGCATTAGGAATGAGCACTTGGTGTCATATGCAAGTGATGAACCCCGGGGGTCTACTCCTGAAACCAATACTACCCTGTATGATAACTAATTTGAATTTAAATACATAAATTTTAAAAAGAGTGTAGTTAGACCAATTCCTCCCATCTTTTTGCCTTTTGTCTCACAGTTGCCTCAAGGCCCAAGATGGCTGCTGGAGCCTCAGTCATTACATCTGCATTCCACCAGAAGGGAGGGCGAGGGATGAAAAATAAGGAGATAAATTTTCCAGTGGAGTCAGTTCCTTGAAGGGCCTTATGTGAAGTCCCACAGAGGACTTCACTTTAGTCCGGGATTAGGATTGGCTGATGATAGGGTACAGAAGGCCCCCCCCCCCACCAGATGAGGGAATGCCTGGGGGCTGGTCACCTGCCAGAGCTCCCTGTGCATCAGGCTGAGGGTCGACATTGGCTGAAACATGTCTCCTTGGTTCTACACCTGCCCTTTCTTCCTCCTCTTACTTCTTTACAAGTTTCTCCTTCCAAAAACCACTCGCATCCCAAGGTCCATGTTCTTTCTTAGCCCAAATCCTGTCTTTTTTTTTTTTTCTAGGAGAGAGAGAGAGAGTGTGAAGAGGGGAGGGATAGAGAGAGAGGGAGACACAGACTCTGAAACAGGCTCCAGGCTCTGAGCTGGCAGTCAGCACAGAGCCCGACGCGGGGCTCGAACCCACGAACCGCGAGATCATGACCTAAGCGAAAGTCGGACGCTTAACCGACTAAGCCACCCAGGCGCCCCAATCCTGTCTTTTTATAATCTCACCTGGGTTCCACTATGTCGAATAATCCAGAATAAATGGAATTCTCTTCCTTAGAGTGGTCACCTCGTATATTTGAAAGCAGCCGCTAAGGAATACTGTAGTAACTAATGGGTACATGTCCCTGGGCTGGTGATGAAGTGCTCCGACCCTCACAGTCCCTGATGGTAGGCGTGATTATTTTTACAGGTCAGGACACCGAAGTTCAGAGGTGACTTCTCCAAGGTCACTTGGAAGATAAAGGGCAGAGCGGGGCTCTCTGGGAGGAGGACGTCAAGCACCAGACGAGGTGAATTAGTTTTCTAGGGCTGCTGTGACCAAGGGCCACAAACTGGGAGCCTGAAAACGACAGAAATTTATTGTCTCACGCTCTGGGGGCGTCAGCAGCCAGAGACTCCGATCCAAGGCTCTAGGGGGGGAGCTTTACCTGCCTCTTCCTAGATCCCAGTGACCCCAGACTTTGCCTCGCTTGTGGCAGCTTCGGGTGGCCTTGTCTGTGTGTGTGTCCCTGTGTCCTTTCCTCTCCTCGAAAGGATGCTCTCGTCGGATTTAGGGCTCACCCAAATCCAGTACGATCTCTCCTCTATCCTTAACCAGTTACACCTGCGAAGACCCTATTTCAAGATCACTTTCTGAGGTCGCCGGGGGACACTATGGAACCCATGGAACTTTGCTTTTAGTACATTTATTTATCTCCGGGTTTCCTTTCTACGTGTTACAAGGAACAGTCACTTTCACGCACATAAGTACACGTCCTCTCCTGCACACTTTCCCAGCTCCCACGCCGAAAGGGTGCAGGCGGGCGGACTGAGACGAGGTGGTGTAGACCTTTCAAGGCTGCCTCCCAAGGGCTCCTTGCTTTCAGGTCGTTGCTGTAGGTCATGATCCCATGGTTCATGAGTTCGAGCCCCCTATCGGGGTCTGCGCTGCAGCTCAGAGCCTGGAGCCTGCTTCGGATTCTGTATCTCCCTCTCACTCTGTCCCTCGCCCACTCACTCTCTCTTTCTCTCTCAAAAATAAAAAAAAAAAACCATTTAAAAAACAACATAAAAAAAGAGACAACCAGCGAGTTGCAGTAGTTTAATCTACATGTGTTCCTACTTTCAGGGTATATGGTTCAGCACTGTTTTTGCTGTTCTTCAAATAGAAATGACACAAAGCCCCTGTCAGATCGAAGTCCTTCCCCAGCCAGGCTGTCACAGTTAAGGTTTTCCAGGGGTGGGGACAGGTTTGGTGAGCTTTCCCCTCAGAAATCCAAGCAGACCAGGGAAGTCAAGGGGATCCATGACTGACTGAGTCAAGGAGCTGCCACAACAAAATCACAGACCCGTGGCTCAAGCAACAGAAAGTTCTAGAGGCTGAGAAGCAAGATCAAGGTGCTGAGAGCCGGCATCCTGGCCTGTGGGTGGTCTGCTCCTTGCTGTGTTCTCAAGTGGCAGAGAAAGAGAGAAGGAAAGAGAGAGGGAGAGAGGAAAGGGGAGGATGAGGGAGAGAGAGAAAGAGAGAGAGAGAAAGGTACGGAGGGGGAAGGGAAACAAACTCTGGTGTTTCACCCTCTCCTTATAAGGGCGTCAGGCCCACCATCGTGACTTCCCAGAATTATCCCCCAGAAAAGAGGGAACTGACTTATTTTTGAAGCTTTCCAATTCTCTCACACTAGGGGGTACTTTACCTTATTTGGGTCGACCTTTGTCATACTTTTACCATTTGGGGAAGCTTACCAGTTAAGGCTGCAAATCTGTACTGTTTTAGGCTGCTTAGAGAGGTAACCCCATGGAGTCGGAGTTAAAGAGAGAATTTGAAAATAGGGATTCAGTGACTATTTTCGGTGATAGGATTTCATGAACTCAACTGCAAATTTTGTAAAGAAGTCTTTGAAAGATCACAAATCTGTACCTGTAAGAAAAGTTTTTTAATAAAAGTTTCAGTGTTGAGAATGGGTAGTTAGGTATTGTAGATAAAGTTTCCCACAGTATATCATCATCTTTGGATCTAGAGTTTTCTTTTTTTAAAAAATGTTTTAAAAGTTGACTTACTTATTTTGAGACAGAGACAGTGCAAGTCGGGGAGGGGCAGAGGGAAAGAGAGAATCCTGATGTGGGTCTCGAATTCACGAAACCATGAGATCATGACCTGAGCTGAAACCAAGAATCAGATGCTAAACTGACTGAGACACAGGCACCTCTGGGTCTAGAGTTTTTTATCCAAATGACCTATAGGTGCAGGTAACGTGCTTGGCAACTTGTGCTGGAGAGCTTGTGTTCAACACATATGTTGTTATGTCAAGGACTAGATGCTGCAGGTGTCGGTGAAGGATTTGAGTGAAACCATTGTATGAAATGTGCATGAGAAAGGGCAATATTTCTAAATTAACATACCATAGTACTAAACCTGTGATGCTAAATATGTGTGTGTAAATCAATTCTTTAGAATTATAAGGAGAATTTGACTCTTCCGTCTACAACCATGTGTATGTGCGTGCGTATAATATCTTGCGAGTGGATAGACTGATTCCTCTTTATTATTCTTCAAAGTTCGTTTAGCTATTCTAGCTCCCTTGCTCTTCCTATACATTTCAGAATAATATCGTCTTTATCTACAGAAGTCTGGCTGGGATTTTGATAGAAATTGTGTTAAACTTGTACATGCACAAAACCTGGCGAGAACTGACATCTTTACTCTGTTGAGTCTTGTTAACATAATGACACAGTCTCTGCATTTATTTAGATCTTTGATTTTTTCATTAGCATTTTGTTAGTGTTCCGCATACTAGTCCTGCACGTGTTTGTTAGATTTACACCTAAGTATTTCATTTATCTGAGCAGTTGTAAGTGGCATTTCATTTCTAATTTGGAGGTTCATGCGATCATTCCTGGCATATAGAAGTATGATGGGTTTTTGTATGTTTCCTTATCTGGTATCTTGCAACCTCGCTGACCTCAGTTTCAGCCGGGATTATTTTTGCAGATTCCTTGGCATTTTCTATGTAGACAATCATGTCATATGCAGAGAAACCAGGTTTATTTCTCTCTCTCTGATGTATAAATGCTGGTGGATATGCCACTATAACATGCAACTGTTAAGTGTTGCCCAAGAGGTAGAAGACGACAGTAGGATTCTCACTTTGGCAAGAAAAGAAGAGTATGTCTTCCTCAAATGAGGCTGCTGAAGCTATTTCTATTGTCAGCGGCTGGTGGTGGAGCTGCTGCTTTTTGGTCTCAAAACCCCACCAAATCTTTGCTCCAAAGAGTCATCTCATCTTTGGCTGCCTTCTTATGAGAGGATGGTGCTTGAGTTGCTGAGAGCAAAGCAGAAAATAGGTGAGTTTATTGCACAGGGCCAGTAAATTGCCTGCAATTCCCCCCATTTCCCCAACCGTGGTCCGCCCGCCAGGAACCCTTTGGGGGCAGCCAGGGGCAGAAGGGAAAGCCTTTCAGGGCGTAGCCTCAGCCCGGCGGTCTCAGCTCCTCCTAGACGCGCGGGGGCGCTGTGAGTTCCCCCATCGGCGCGGCGGCACTCTTTCTCAGACGCCTCTGTTTGCACTGAGGCTTTCGGGACGGTGGCGGGAATATGGCGGCCCCCAGAGACTGGCTGGGAGCAGTGGAGGAAGAGAACTCGGGTCGTCAGGGGAGCTCGGGAGTGGAGGTGGTTTTTCCTTCCGACCCTGCCACACCTGCCCCGCTGTGCCCTCACGGTGGGTGCGCGTCTGGGCTCTGCAGAGCTTTCGGGCGCAAGGGGCGGGGATAACCTGAAGATGCCATGGGCTTCTTAATGGCTCCCAGATTTTTATGCTCTCTTCCACCGTATGTGAAGCCTAGAAAACGCCCTTTCCTCGGGACGTAGTGTTTTCAGTTTATTTAAGAAACTGTCCTAGAAAGTCCTCACTGTTGGGGTCTTGGCTCCGTGGCTGTTAACATCCTCCGCACTCCACGCTCCCCCCAAGGGAAGAGACAGAGTCTATGCAAAGTGGATGCATGTTATTGAGTAAATCCATTGTCAAGTAGTTGGGGATTTCGTTGATTGTTGTGATATCTTTATTTTAAAAAGTTAGGGAGGAGGGGCGTGGCTCAGTCGGGTGAGCCACAGACTTTTGATTTCTGTTCAGGTCGTGATTCCAGGGTGGTGGAATCGAGCCTCTCCGCCCCTCCATCCGCTGATCATGGAACCTGCTTTGGATTCTCTGTCTCTCTCTCCCTCCCTCCGCCTCTCCTCTCTCTCTCTCTCTCTCTCTAAGATAAAAATTTTAAAGAAAGCCCGGGAGAAGAGTAGCATGACTTATTACTTAGAAACCAGACCCAGGTTTTCTCTAACTTGTGGAGAGAGGATGTGCCCAACTCCAAAAGCTCAGATTTTCACTGAAAAGATAACTGGATGGAGGTGGCAAAATGCTCGGTTCTGGGACCCCTTCCATTGTTTTAGTCTCAGGAGCCAGGTCATTCACCATGTAGACAGCAACTGACAGAGGCATTTTTCTTTCTGGAAAGACTAGTTTTTAAAAGCTATTTCTTCAGTGATCAGTGCCTAAATATTGTGACGGGAAAAAAAAAGTAATTAAACAGTGTAGGTTTAATTATGACAACTTGTGCCTGAAACCAAATCAAGTTTTATTTAAGGGCGGTTAAAACTAGTAACTTGATGTAGATGACTACTGTTTGATATGTTTTTTTCCCCTCTTTCTGGAACCAGGACCCACGCTTCTGTTTGTAAAGGTGAACCAAGGGAAAGAAGAAACACGGAGGTTTTATGCCTGCTCAGCCTGTAGAGATAGAAAAGACTGTAATTTTTTTCAATGGGAAGATGAAAAGGTATATCAGCTTTCTGGACATACATATTTTTATTTTTGATGCATGTGACCATTTGTTTGAGCCAATAAAAACATGCAGTTTGAGCATTAAATGAATCAAATCTCTTTGGATAGATGAAGACATGGTTTTTGGGTCAAGGAACTGAAGTTTATACTTGGTCGCAACTTAACTCTGATTACTTATCTTGTAAATAACTGTCTCAAAGACTGTTCCCTTTAAGATTCAGAGGCATTAGTATAGATTTCTCCCGAAAGAGTCTAGGATGTGATCATTTCAGGCAGTGTTTTAGAAAACTTTTTTTTTTAACAATTGTGTGAGCATCCTTTACTATCTGACTGATCAAGGCACTTAGGGATGTAGTTATGAGCTTGGTATCTTCTTGGACTCAGCTCCAATTAAAGTTTCTGAAAGTTTTTGTCTAGAAAAATTCCAGCTTTGTTGGGTTTACTGGAACACAGTCTTGTATACAACTCTCCTGCACACCTGTTAAAATCGCTGTGTGTGAGATAATGTGGCGGTGCTTTTCTATGTTAGGTTTTGCTTCCTACTGCTCCAGAACTTTCCCAGGTTAATGTGTTTTGCTTTGTTTTCCCCCGAAAACAGGTGCTTGTTTACAACATCCATCTGTTCTAATTGGCTTCTTAATGTCAGAACGTGATATGAGGTTTTCTAGGATGGTAGTGAGTTGGGTAGTTTATTAAATGGTGTTTTTATTCTTTTTCAGTTGTCAGAAGCTAGACTTGCTGCCCGAGAAGCTCATAACCGAAGGTGTCAGCCTCCTCTTTCCCGAACGCAGTGTGCAGAAAGGTGCTGATGTGCTGTCATTTTTGTTTATTATTTTTGTTTTGTTTTTTTTCCTGTGCCTTTAAATTTACTTTCATTTTTTTAAAAGTTTTTATTATGGTAAAATATATATAACATAACCTTTGTCATTTAATAATTTTAAATGTACAGTTCAGTGGCATTAATTATAGTCACAGTGTTATGCGATTATCACCATTATATATTTCCAAAACCTTTTCATCACCCCAGACAGAAAGAAACTGTGTTACCATTCAGCAGTAACTCCTCATTCCAGTTCTTCCCAAACCCTGGTAACCTCTCATATACTTTAGGTCTCTATAAATTTCACAGTTCTAGCTACCTCATGTAAGTGGAATCATGTATTTCTGATTTGGCTTTTTTTTTGTGCCTGGTTTATTTCACTTAGCATCTTTTCAGGGTTCACCCATGTGCCTGGCTTATTTCATTTAGCATCTTTTCAGGGTTCCTTCATGTTGTGGCATGTGTCAGAACCTCATCCGTTTTATGGCTGAATAATATGCCATCACACACACGTACACACAAACACCACATTTTGTTTATTTATTCATCCATCAGTGAACACCATTTCCTCCTTGTGGCTGTTGTGACTAATGCTGCAGTGAACATTGGCATACAAATGTCTGCTTGGGTCTCTTGTCAGTTCTTTTGTATGTATACCTAGGCGTGGGATTATTGGATCATATGGTAATTGTGTGTTTAGTGTTTTGATGAGTCACCAAACTCCTTTCCACGGTGGCTACGCCATTTTGCATCCCTACCAGCGATGTACAAGGATTCCACTTTCTGCACATCCTTGTCAGCAACACTTATTGTTTTGTGTGTGTGTTTTTAATTATCTTAGTACTTGTGAGGTGGTGTGTCATTGTGGTGTTGAATTTTAGTTCCCTAATGAGTAATGATGTTGATTATCTCTTCATGTGCTTATTGGCCATTTGTATATCTTTGGAGAAATGTCAAGTGCCTTGTTCGTTTTTAATAGGATTGTAATTCTTGTTGTCGAATTGCAGGAATTCTTTATATGTGAAGGGACATCACACCCTTATCAGATATAGGAGCTTTACATACTTCTTCCTATTCTGTAAATTGCTTTTTCACTTTCTTGATGATGTTCTTTGATGCACAACAGGTTTTTAAATTTGATGAAGTCCAATTTGTCAAATTTTTGCTTTTGTTTTCTTTGCTGTCGACCATAGAGCTAGGAATCCATGACCCCATATGCTGTTATGAAGATTTACCATAATGTTTTTGTGTTTGTTTGTTTTTTTTTTTGCAATAAGAACCGAAACACTTTTTGAAAGCTGTGAACATTTATTTTTATTTTTATTTCTTTAAATTTTTTTAATGTTTTTATTCATTTCTAGGAGAGAGAAAGAGAGAGAGACAGCGTGAGCAGGGGAGGGTCAGAGAGAGAGGGAGTCAGAGACTCTGAAACAGGCTCCAGGCTCTGAGCCGGCAGTCAGCACAGAGCCCGACGCGGGGCTCGAACCCACGAACCGCAAGATCATGACCTAAGCGAAAGTCGGACGCTTAACCGACTAAGCCACCCAGGCGCCCCTGTGAACATTTAGTTTTAAAAATCTACGTTGTTGAAATATTTTATTGAGCAACTGGAGAATGCATCCTAGATTTAATTCTTTGGAGACCTGTGAAAGGCCACCTCCTCCTGTGTCACAGGCCTTGTCCCTGTGTGCTGGGAGAAGCTCCTTAAAGAGCCTCTGGGCTGGGCTGCTAGTGACAAATAGGTTTTTCCTCTGTAAGTGGCTCCTCAGGCTTCCTGGGCTGCTATGTTCAGAAGGATTGCGAGGTCTTCTTCAGAAGAAGTGGAAAGGAGAACTGGGCTCTATTAACACTATCTTTCTTGAGCCTCTTGGATTTTGAAGTCCTTTGATGGAGGAGGCTTTTCATAGGACAACTTGATCGCCCCTGACCGAGGTACTGAATCAGTGATGACCGTTTACTGTATGGGGGTTCAGTCAGCAAGGCAAAGTACCTGAAAGGGAATTAATGGAAATTGAGCACTACTGTGAGCAGGCTAGCGTCCTGAGTATTTTACACGAGAATTATTTAGTCTCGCTGAGGCAGTTTATTTACTTAGATGAGAAACTTGAGGCCTGGAGCAGATGAAGAACTACATAAAAGCTGTTACCGCTGGAATGACCTAGCAGTGACTCAGACTTATGCCCCTGATTCTAACACATTATTTTTAAACATGAAAGCAGATGCCAATTAACATATGGTATGTGCTGATTTGATTTAAGGAGATCTAAATAGATAAAGCATGAGTTCTGTAGAGATCTATCATAATGATATCGAATACCAAAGACGCAGAAAGTACAAAGCAGAAAAATGTCACTTGTGATTTCTCCCTTTGAACCCATCATTTTGTTCATTTTGTTGTATTTTCTCCCAGCTTTTTTGACCTGTGCCAAAGTATGTTATACAAGGTTGTCATCATAATGTACACATAGTCTCTAATACTTTGTCATTTCAGTTTTACCTGATAAGGATGTTTTTTATGTTATTCCATGAGGATATTGGTGATTCAATTAAACTCTGTAAGGAAATCTTGGTGATCTTGTTTCCTTGTGTAATAAAATCTCAGTCTGGAGATAAACCCTATTCTGTCTTTGTACTGCCAGAATATGGTTTTTTGGTAATAATTTTTGAAATTCATATTTCATGTTAATTAGAATATAAAATCCCTGACTAAAATATGAAGTATTAAAGAATTTTCAAATGTGAGTTCTCAGAGGGCATACTGTCATTTGTAATCTAGTGCTGATTCTTGAGAACATGACTTTTTAAATTTTATTTTATTCTTTTTTTAAATGCTTATTTTTGAGAGAGAGAGAAAGGGAGACAGAGGCTGAGTAGGGAAGGGGCAAAGAGAGAGGGAGACACAGAATCCAAAGCAGGCTCCAGGCTCCAAGCTGTCAGTACAGAGCCTCACTCAGGGCTCAAACCCACAAACTGTCAGATCATGACCTGAACCGAAGTCAGACGCTTAACCCAGGCACCCTGGGTTATCTTAATATCTTAATATCTTAATAAGATAATTTTCAACATCTGCGATCATCTGTAACCCATAACCTTGGATTTTGTTGCTCAAGCTTGTTTGCTTGCTTGATTGCTTGCTTCCTTCCATCCATCCACCCATCCATCCATCCATCCATCCACCCTCCCACCCATCCATGTATTCATTCCTTGTTGAGGGCTCAAAAAGAACTTAAAATGCTAGTAGTGGAGTTGAGATACACAAAAGTAACATCGTGCAAAGAAGAATGTATTAAATGTAGACAGTATTTATAGAAAAAGCTGAGTGCTCTCGGAAGTCAGCTGTGATCTGGCTACCTTGTGCCTTAGCTGATCAACACGCTTTCAGGACATGGGACTGGAATGGGTTTTGGAGGATGGGTAGAAGTTGAAGCTTTTTGAAATGCACCGTCATTGATTTCACCGCCTCATTCTGTGATTGATGCTTCCATGCTTTCGTGTATGCTTTCTGTGGAGTAAAACATTGGAAGTCAGTCATTCCTCTAAACAGGTAAAATTTTGGCTTTTTAAAAGCAGAGGCTTACTAACTTACTTATTCCGAGGTATTAAGTACCTGTTCTCTTACTGTGTCTTCAGCTGGAGCCTCGCAGTTCGTTCCTGTGTGCAAATGACCCAAAGGATGATGTGCTGTCTTGACATTGTAATTGTTTTCTAAGTGGACTTTCTACAACTCGTTTATAAGTGGTCGTACAAAATAACCACACCATTTGAAAGTATTAAAGTGCATTTAAATATGCTTCCTATTCTATAAAGCACACTTTTGTCTGTCACTGTGGGGTAACAACAGCTTTTCATTGATAAAATTTCTTTTTCCAAATTGTTAGAAAGGGAATATGGTAGCTAGCAAGATAAACTGACTTGTGTTACTTGATTTTTCTTATAGAACTGGCTGTCCCGCACAGATGGCTAGGTGCTGCGGCAGAGGATTGGGTATTTGTTTTTTCAGCCTCACTCTTTGAACCATGCTTTCGATTTCATGTGTTGAGTTGACAGATTTACATTTTGTGTCTGAGATTTGACTTTGCCTATAGTTTCTAGCTGCCCATCATGCTCTGAAATGATATTCTATTATGTAGTATGTTGGCACCTTTCTTGTGACCTAGGAAGTCTTAGAGAAGATATATTTTAATGCTAAAATAAGCAATAATTTATGTGCATCCATATGGTTTTGTTTAGTTGATACTGCATTTGGTACTTTTTTTTTCCCCAGAGCTCATTTAAACTCAGATTTTCAAGGTCTGCTATTAGGGAAATGCCATAAACATAATTTGTCTACTCCAGGAAAGGCAAATGGAACATCAAATGGAGATCAATAAAAATGACATCTCAAAATGCTAGCCTGCACTTTGTGAATCATGCTGAGCCATGCAGCACAATGAATTTCCTCACTCCCCCCCCCGCCCCCGCCATGTGTGGAAAGTACAAGTAAGGAGGGAGAGCTGAGTAATGCTCAGCTCTCATGTTCTTGTGCTCTTCCAACCAAGCCTCTGAAAAGCCTTGTGTCTGAATGTCTGAATTTAAAGCAGCATAATCACTTGAATGATTATGATGTGATTTTGAATAGAAAGAAAAATGTTCAAGAGCTCAGTTTATCTTTTGTCAGGGAAAGGTTAACACACCAGCAGTAAAGCTTTCCGAAGGACAACTGTGTCAGGGCCCAAGGATCTCTAAGTGGAGGTTCACGTAACGGTGTTCTTCTTTTGCTTCGTTTAAAAGTAATTACACTTGGGGTCCTCCATGCCTTCAGAGAGTTCTGTGTCGTGAGCAAATCGCACACCGGTCATTCATGGTAGTTTTGAACTGTCTTTCACCTTCTCCTGGTGGATTTGGGTCTTCCTCCTTCAGTGGGCGTTGCTTGGTGAGTGAGAGGTGGTCCTTTGGACTGGGTTTAAGTAGCAGACCCCGACCCAGCTCTAGCTCGGGCGATC